ACCCAAACTTTGTTACAAGGGTAGTAGATCTATGTTAAATGCTTTTACCACAATAAAATTAAGTTTAAAAAATATTACAAGGAATTTTTAGTGGCTGCTTCACTGTGCAACACCAAAGCCTTTCTCTAGGAAAAATAATAATAAGTGGAACACATAGATCATAATAAGATATGTCCATTTTTAATTCAATTATCTTCTAAATCATATACCCTGTAGCAGAGTATGGGAGTAAATATTTTGCCTGACATTATTGCCAATTTTCATATTAATCATACTTACAATTGTTGCTGACCTGATGAATGAAATTGGTATTCAGCTACTACTTGGAAGTTTGTCTTTCTGATGACTAGAGAGGTTGAGTCCTTGTGGATGTTTGTTGACATTGTATTGTCTTTACACTTTAGCATCTCATGTTAGATGACTTTTACTTACTTGGCCCATTTTTCCAGTGGCTTTGAAAAATTATCTATAGAGATCCTTCATTTATAATGGAAATTATTTTGTTATAAAATTTCAAATATTTGTCTTAGCCTGCTACTTGCCTGTTCACTTTATAATGTCTTTAGTCTCAAAGACATTTAGTCTTTGAGACTAAAGACATTTTGAATTTTAGTGGAAAAATGTATCATTCTTTTCCTTTGTAGATTTTGCTTTCTGTGTCAATTTATGTAGAACTGCCATAACTTTAGCTCTTAGTAAATTCTCTTATATTTTCTTAGAACACTTTCACAGTTCTATTTTCACACTTGTGGTTCTATTTTTTTAATGTGAGGTATGGGTGTGACTTTACTTGTTTCTAAAAACAAATTTGTTCACTGATTTTAAATGCCCCTGTTATATAGTTATCCAATGAGACTCACTTTTGTCTATAAGGCTACTAAGGAGGTGAGGTCCCCCGCTTGGAGACTTACAGCCTAAAACCAAGTAACAGTTATCCAAAGTCAACATTTCTAGCACCTAGTACATTATGCTTGATTCAGTAAAAACCATTTTCGAGTACCTATTTTGTATAAGATATAAGGTATTTCTCAGGAGATACATTTATATATGAACCCTTTCTAGGTTGCCAGTTTCTTTATTGTTCCATGATCTATTTCAGTGCTTTTTCCATACTCAGAAAGTCTTTATCTGGCCATTTTATCCAAGATAACCTTCATTCACCATCATATTACTCCATTTTTTCCCCTCTGTAGGACATATATCTCTTTATTTATTTATTTATTTATTTATTTGCTGGTGTGTATATTACAAGTTCCATGAAGACGAGCTATTTCTGCCTTGTTAGTGCCTAGAAGACACTTAGAAAAATAGTCTAAATGAATGGATAAAAGTCAGTGACTTCGCCTGAGATATTTGTATTTTAAAGGTTTGAATAAATTGTTTGGCAAAGAAATTCGTATGATTAATCAATGAAGTGAGTAAAAAGGATTTTCCTAACACCTTGAAATTCTTGTGTCTTTATGGGTTCTATTCATGTCATATCATTTGACTGTTGAGCTCTTGGAAAAACTCATTCGAAGGGGTAGAAAAGGGCGATGTCTGCTTCTAATAGTTTTGGGGGTTATTTTCTTTTAAAGTATGGAACTTAGAATGACCAGATGCAAAACTGAATAGGTAGCTAAAGGCAGTCACTAATTCACCTTTCAAACATCTGTCCAGCACTCTGGTAGGTGTTAAGAATGTACAGGTACCTCGGAGGTAGCAATTCATAATAATTAGAAATGCTGATCATTTCCAAGTAGAAACATTTTAAGATGCTTTTAATGCAGGTAGTAATAAAAATTATCAGAGAATACTTCACTGAGGAAGTGACCATTGAATGAAGATTTGAATTAGATAAAGAGAAATATGAAACTTTTTTTTAAAGATTTACTTATTTATGCATATAAGAGCTGGGGTACAGGCCAGAGGTGCAGGGGTGGTGGTGGGGGGGGATGAGAGGATTCACTGGTGACAGAATGGGGAGCAGAACAGGCAGGCTGTAATACACTGCTGAAGTGAGCAGTGGGAGAGACAGGAGAGGTCTGCTGCGCCATGTGGGTCACCTCCGTGGCTGGGGATCAAGGTTGTGTGCTGCACTTACTGTGGATCGCTTGACAATGCTGTGCTGTAACCCCTTGTGCCACCAGGGAGGGCTCAACATGAGACTTTTTGGCTTAGGTCCTGAGACAGAAGAAAAAGGAAGAAGCAAAAGAAGCCTCAGTGTGAGTGACTTAGAGAGTTGAGTGGCAGAGTAACTCTGGTGAGGTAAGCAGAGCCAAATTGAAGGAGAGTATAGTGTGATGACCAACACAACAATCTCAAAACCTCTGTGGATTTTGGAGTAATACAAACCCGGAGTTCACATGTGAATTTTGGCGTCTGTCTGCTGTATAACTAGATCAATTTTACCTCTCCTTCCTCATCTATTTTATTGATGAAAACAAGCCTCATTGAGTTACTGTGAATAATTCATGAAATAGCTCTTGGCACATACTAGACAGGGTATAGTTATTGTACCTCTGGCATACTAATAGTTCATCTGTGCTTGTGAGCTGCTGGTCACCTGACTCTAAGCCAACAAAGAAGATATAATCACTGGTTTTAGAGATTCACAGCCAGAAACCAAGGTGACAGTTACCAGAATGAAATTTGGCCCACAATTTTTGATTAAGTTATAAGTTCTGTTTAGTTTAGTTGTATCATTTTTGAGTACGACTTTGAACAGGATAGAAAATATTCCTCTAGAGATACAATGATGAGTCATTTTTTTATTATATATATATTACATTATATATATATATTACATTATTCTACATTTTGTACATTTTTTCATCTCAGTTGTAATCCCTATGGACTTCCCACCATCACTTCACCTGTGTGCCATCACCATAGTCCCATGTGCTCTTCCCACCCATTTTGATATTGTTCCCCTCTCCTCCCCCATAGAATACCTCTGGTTTATAGTTGTTAGTTGATGTTCTTTTTTACTTTACTACATTTACTATATATATATACAAGGCTGAATGGCTTTGTACTGGCCAAGGACCATTCTCTGATTTCTCCAAATGAAAGTTGTTTTTGTTCCCCTACCCTTTATAATTTCTTGTTACATATAATTTCTAAAATCAGGTCTAATATTTGACTGATTGTGTTACCTGGAAAATAAAACTTTCTCTTTTTTAAATAAACTTTTTATATTTACAGAATCATTGCAAAGAGTACATAGAAGTCCCACAGGTCCCACATCCAGATCCCCTTATTGCTATCATATATTAGCACACTTGTCACAGTTAATGATTCAATATTAAAATATGATTATTAACCAAAGTCTATAATTTATTCAGATTTTCTCCATTTCCCCAATGTCCTTTATATTCTTTTCCAGGACTGCAAATTGCATTTAGCTGTGCTGTTTCTTTGGTTTCTCTTAGCTTGATGGTTTTTTAGACTTTTGTGTATTTGATGATATGGATAGGTTTGGGGACTTTTAGAATGCTCTTAAACTTGGATTTGCCTGATGTTTTCCTCATGATTAGACTGGGTTTTGGGGAGGAAGACGAGAGAGATAAGGTGATATTCTCATCAGATCAGGTGAAGGAGACATATACTATCACTATGACTTCTCAAAATTGAGCTTCTGATGTGAGGTAGAGTTGTCACATTTCTTCACTACAAAGTTACCTTCTCCTTTTTCATCCCCTGGGCTTTGGAAGAAAGTTGCCACACACAACTCATGGTTAATTCATGGTTAATTCATGTTCATTTCTTCAAAGGAGAGTATCTACATAAATTATTCAGAATTCTTTTGCATGGAAAATTTGCCTCTTCTCCCCCATTTGTTTATCCAATCATTCATTTATATCAACATAGCCTTGTAGATATTTATTTTATACCTTGAGTTATAATCCAAAACCACTTTATTTGTTTTGTTGCTCAAATTGTTCCAGCTTTCGTCTTTGGGAACTTTTTCAGTTGGCTCCTGTATCCCTTTGATATATTCCCATCATTAATGTGTGTGGGCATATTTTCTGAATTTCTGGCACTAAAAGATTTTCCAAGCTTATCTTGTGTATTTCCTGGCCCAGTCTTGGAATCAGCTATTTCTCCAAGGAACCCTGGTTCCTTTTATTTAAGAATGCTGTTACAAATGAAGCTCTGGGTGCCAGGATTGCTGGTTGCTACTGGATCTCATTTTTTCTAGGCCTATTAACTGATGTATCAAGGAGATATATGTCTATACTACCTCATACACATGTCTATAAATAGTTCTGTATGCCATCTATATCTCCATTAAGCTAAACAGGAATTCCTATTGTTGTCTCAACTCTAATACATGACCACATGAGTCACTATGGAAAAAATTAAAAATATAAGATACCAAAGCCAATAAATCAAGATGAATAGTGGATTTGCATATCTTTTTAAAAAAAGATTTATTTATTTTTTCATACAGAACTGGGGTACAGGCCAGAGATGAGGAGGGTGAGAGGGGTCAGGAGGGATCTGCCACGCCATGTGGATCTCTTCAGGGGCAGGCGGGGGTCGAACTCATGTGGAAGTGGCTTAAGCTTCTTAGTGTAGTGCTTTAACCTGCTGAGCCACAGCCAGGGCCGGATTTGCATATCTTTTAAAGGCAAATGTGTTAACATCTTTGGATGTTTTTCTTGGTTTAATATTGAAATCAATGTAAAAATTATGAAAAAGTCATTAATGCAAATTTTACTTTATCATCATTCACAATGAGAATTTGTGTTTATTTTAGTAAAGATTTGCTTTTGTTACAAATGTGCGAATCTTAATTCTATCAACATCTGATCTAACAGAGTTTGAAAGTTCTTATGTTGGGTGACTAAAATTCTCTTCAACTCTCAGAGTCTGATTGGAAGTCTTAATAGAAAAAGAACACTGTAAGAACACAATGATAATTATGCAAACTGTGTTTTTTATGTTGATATGATCTGCCTCAGTCCTTTATTCCCTTTGTCTTTTTTGTTTCCTTGCATTTTTGGCGGCTGCAGGCTCCAGTTCCGACACCATCTTCCAAGATGATCCGGACTCCCAGAATGCCGTTGGTGCTGCTGCTTCTCCTGCCGATCCTCAGTTCTACAAGAGCTCAGGTTAACCCAGGTAACACAGCCACTGCTCAGCCACACAGCTAGAACAGCTGACTGCTGTTTTTCAGTATTCATCCTGAAAAAAGCCTCCCCCAAGGGGACCCAGAGGACCTTTTTTTTTTTCTATTTTTTTGCCTCCATGATGAAACATAGTCTTAGCAGGAACAGCAGCCAATATACTCTGTCTGTGTAACATACTGGACATTATAAAAGAGTATCTTAGATGCAATAGATATAGTAAATGAGGAAATTTTAAAAAGTAGGATGTGTGAAAAACAACTATGTTCCTTGTTTTCCAGGAAGCAGGAGAGTACTTTCAGATGCCATAGAGAACTTTCACAGTTTCCAGCAAATGTGTGGCAGTTTCAGGCATTTTTTTTTAACTTAAAAAAAATAATAATATAATAGCTTATTTTTACATCATTTTGTGCACTTTTTCATCTCATTTGTAATCCCCATGGGCTTCCCATCACCAAATCACCCATGTGCCATCACTATAATCCAGTGCACTTCCTTCTCTCCACTGTTTTTGATCCCATTCCCCACTTCACCCATAAGATGTCTCTGGTATATAGCTGTTCATTATTATTATTATTTTCTCACCTGGTCTGTTATATTCCTGCTATGAGTGAAACCATCCAGTATTTTTCCTTTTCTTTCTGGCTTATTTCCAGGTACATCCATGTTGCTGCAAAAGACATGCGTTCATTTATTTGGTTGCTGAGCAATATTCCATTGTGTATATGTACCACATCTTTTTAATCCAGTCATCTACTTTTGGGAATTTGGGCTGTTTCTATGTCCTTCCAATTGTAAATAAAGCAGCAATAAACATGGGGGGGTGCAGGTATCTTTTTGAATCAATGTTTTTGTGTCTTTTGGGTCGATACCTAGGAGTGAGATTGCTGGGTCATATGGAAGCTCCATATTTAGCAGTTTCAGGAACCTTCAAACAGTTTTCCATAATGGTTGTACTCATTTGCATTCCCATCAAGCATGTTTTTTTACTTGGCTGTCACGTTATGCTTTTGGGACCTTGGTCTTGTGGGATCTCAGGCAGGCTCTCTTTCCTCTATGCTGTGGTTAGGATTTACAAGGAATTTTTCAGTAGCCCTCCCCTCCATTTTTGTTAATACATGTATTTCTTAACTTTAAGTTGATGTGTACAGTTGCATCCTTTGTCCAATACACAGTAATGCTGTAAAGCGACCTGTGCAGAAAGCAGCAAGGCTTGACCGGACTGTCGTTCTGTTCTCCTCTGGGACAGTGCACGTATCTGTGTGTCACCTGCCTACTGGCTCATATAGGGTAAATTCAGCTCTGATGAACAGGGCAAACTGGACTGTGCTCTCCTCCAACAGACTGGTGTGCATATCTTTTCATGAAGATTGCATAGGGCCAAGAACAGAAGCAGAAATGTGCAACATCTTCCAAGCCAATGTTTGGGTCATGTTCACTGAGATTTCATGGCCAAAGCAAGTCACATGTCTCAGACCAGAGTCAGTATGAGAACACATGAGAATAATTTATTTTTTCATTTCGCAGCAATATAAATATAGGAGTATATGTCATATAAGTGCTTATGATTTTTTACAAACTGAGCATGTCCATCTTAGTGGTATCTAGGTTGGGAAACAGAACTTTACCAGCACTTCAGAAGCTTCCCCATGTTTCTTCCTGGTCACTTCTCTAACCCTTTACCTACAGGGTAACCAGTATCTTGAGTTCTAGCAACACAGATTAGTTTTGCCTGTTTTTGTCCCTTATAAAAATGTCTGGCTCCTTTCATTTAAAAGCCTTTTGTTTATGATATTCATCCATATTGTTGCATGCAGTTGGCAACTGTGTTCTTATTGTATAATGTTACTTTGTTTGAATAGCTTATTTATCCAGTCTACTGTGGATGGAAATTAGGATAATTTAATTTGGGTCCATTATGAATGAAACTCTTGTAATCATCCTTGTGTAAGTCTTTAGTGTAGATCTCTTGTATAGGTCTTTTCTTGCTTATAAGGAAGTGAAAGAAGTGAAATTGCTGGCTTTTGTTATTACCTATAATATGCTTTTCTACATATTGTCTAAGAGTTTTGCAAAGTGACTTTACAATTTTTCAACCCATGGCAATGTTGAAGAGCTCCGTGAGCTACCTGGTCAATTTGGATTCCTGAGGGCATTTTCATTTTTTCCTCTTAACATAGCATGAAGATACATGCAGCATTTGTAAAAATGATTATCCCCTCCTCCTTGGAAAAGTTCTGTTTCCATGGCTTGTTCTTTATGTCCCAAAGAAAAATGTGATCAAGCTACATTAAAACCAGAAATCTAGGGGTTCAGTAAATTCAGTGTCTGATTACTTTCTTATAAAAAGCTCAGGAGAATGTTTATTGCTGCTTTATTTACAATAGGAAAGACATGGAATCACCCAAATGCCCAAAAGTAGATGACTGGATTAAAAAGATGTGGTGCATATACACGATGGAATATTGCTCAGCAATCAAAAAGATAAACACATGCCTTTTGCAACAACATGGATGGAGCTGGAAGGAATCATGTTTAATGAAATAAGCCAGAAAGAAAAAGAAAAATGCCAGATGATTTCACTCATAGCAGGAGTATAAATGATGGGGGGTGGGGAGAGTAATAATGAGCAACTATATACCAGAGACATTTTATGGGGGTGAAGTAGGGGATGGGATCAAAACCAGGGAATTGGAGGGAAGTGCACTGGACTATGTTGATGGCATACAGTGAACTGGTGATGAGAAGCTCATGGGGATTACAGTTGAGATAGAAAAGGCACAAAATGATGTAAAAATAAACTATTATATTAGTTAAAAAAAAAACAAAAACAAAACCTCAGCCTTTGGGTGCATTTCAAGTCTGTATTTGAACACCACTCTTTCATTTTCTGCTCCCATGACATTAAAGTCCAGTGTTATTCTTTTTGCTTTTGGTCTCCCAAGAAGAGCTGCTGTGAGTCCAGGCTGCTAGCGTGTTTTGGTAGTGTGTACACTCATGGAAATGGTTGTGGCATGAGGACTAAACCAAAAGCTCCAGACATCTGGTCTGTGTTGGAGAACACTACTTAGCTCTGGCACAGCAAACTGGCTGTTTGAAGACAACAGTTAGGTTCAAAACCTTTCTCCCCATTCCCGGGCTCAACTATTTCTGTTGGCCTTTTCTTCAGAAAAAAAGAAATACAGTCTTGACTTGCATATATCTTTATAGGAACATGAAATATTTAAGGCGTGTTGAAGGATTAATCCTTCTAGCTGCCATTTATCTTTCTATTTTGCCGAGCTAAAATGGAGACAACGATAGGAAGTTGTCATCATTGAGTTTAATCTCAGTCAGCTTGGGAATCATGGGCTGATGACTGAGCATAAAAGCTTGTTATAAGGATAATTTTTCAAAAGTCTTTATTAGTATCTACTGAGATACTGTAAGTAACAGAATATATCCCTGGCCAGTTAAATTTTCCTCACAAGGTTGGTTGGTCACTTGGTATTAAAAAAAAAATAAAATGTACTTAAGAGAACTACATTAGAAAAAAAATCTTATAGACAGCCAATTGCTAATATATATATATAATATATATAATATATATGTGTGTGGATATATATATAATATATATGTGTTTGTAAATATATATATATATACACACACATATATATATATATAAGATTTATATATGCATACAGAACTGGGGTACAGGCTAGAGGTGCTGGGGCAGTGAGAGGATTCACCAGAGACAGGGTGGGGAGCAGAACAGGCAAACTGACAAAGTACACTGCTGAGGGGAGCAGCAGGCAAGACAGGAAAGGTCTGCTGCCCCATGTAGATCATATCCGAGGCCAGGGATCGAACTCATACTGAAGCAACTGCAGCCAGCTTGCAGTGCTGCATCCTAACCCATTGTGCCTCCAGGGAAAGCCTAGTTAAAATATATTTAATAGATGATGATATTAAAAATTTGGGTGACAAAACCAAACTGGACTAAGCATAAAATCTAAACAAACTCATTATCTTAATCTTATTTTGAAGATTTTATCCTTCTGCTGGTCAAAGACTTCTTTTATTAGCTTGACTTACTGATGATAGAAATGCTGAATATGCAAATATGTCCATCCAGAGAGATTATCAAAACCAACAGAGAGCATAATGTTGATACTTGAGAATTTCTCTACTATTTGAGTACATGAATCTCCTGCTCTGTGTCACCCCATGGAGGTGGCAGAGTAACACTACTGTAATATACATAGTAGCTCAAGATTTGAAGACACTGGGACTGCAGACTCACTGCTCTAGAGCACTGGAACTCAGACAGTGGTAATAGAACAACTAGAGGGCAGATGGTATTCACGGCATTTCCAGTGCTGGCAGTTGGAGGTGGTATTGTTACTGTGGCTGTAGGGTAGACACGCAGGTCGACGTGGAAATACTGGCATGCAGGGTGTGTACACAGCTCTGAGCCACCCTCTAGCTGCAGGGGAGCACCAGGTTCAGGGCTCTGGTGACCATCCAGTCATTGAGGAAGTCACTGGAAAATGTGAGGCAGTTCCTGTGTCCGAATCAAGGCTCAGGATTGTCATTCAATTTGTAGCATCCACATCAAACAAGCATAGAAATCAACAAGTGATTGGGCTGTTAGAAAATTCCAATGACTGATCTGCTCATTGGAAAATAATATCTAATTCACTTAGAAAGTTATTTTAAGGAATAACCCTGGTGAAAATGCTGGGTTAGTCTTCAGTTGGCTGCATACCATTGAACAAGTCCTGATACTTCTTTTAGTACTTCCTTAGTCCTTTCACCTACTGAAAAATGAAGCTGAATCAGATCATCTGTGACACTCTTTCTGTCACCAGTGAACGATGACATTTTTCATGTAGGAGTTTCACTGCTCATATTGGAACCATTAATCATCTTTGTGCTTAGAAGCAATATCCCTGAGCTTAAAGGCTTGTAAGAAAGGCTTTTGGTGCCCAACTCCCTGCCACCTTCTAGGCTCAG